AAGGTCTGGAAGTTTTAGAATCCTAGGTAGGATTTGTAAATCCGTTAAGGGACCCTTTTTCAAAGATTTCTTTCTATTAAACTTGATTTGAAAAAATAAACGGAAAGCAAACAATTATGAACTTACAAAGGGAGCTGGGGTTTCCAGGTTCCTGGTTATCCTTTCTGAGTGAGAGACTAAGCGTAATAGCCAGAACAACTACTACACCAAGAACGGCAGCAGCTATCAGCCCAACTACCTTTCTGCTCATTGCCTAGAAAACATCATGCAAAACCATTTTTAGGCAAAAGTAAAAAGTTCATTTTTTTCTACATTTTTACTTAACTGGCTTCTCTCCTTCCATGCTTATACCTGCAAATATCACTATGATATCATTGACAAACCTGTTGAACACCAGTCTCTATTTAATTAAAAGAAAAGTTTATTAAAAAATCTCAGTGTTACATTTAACAAATATTTTTTTCGCTTTTTAATTCGCCCTATCAGTTTCTCTGCTTGGGTCTACATGCCTTAGATTCAGTTTAAGATATTTTTGCCATTGTAATGTTTGTTTTGCCCTTTTTTTTAATTTTCATGAATATGATGAAAATGTTAGATAACAAACAATGAAAACTCAAAAAATTCTTTAAACAATACAATTTTTGAAGATGACATAAACACTGAATATTGGATATTTCAAAGCTGGGATCAGGTGCCTTAGAGAGGTTTGAAATCGACAGGTCATACCCGCCGCCAACCCTTTTGTTACTTTTCATAGTCAAATTCAGTATTAAACAGAAGCCTAAAAATTGGTATAAAACAGGGTAGCCACAATACTACCGAGTTATATTTGCTTACAAGGTCATTTAAACGACCATAGAATTTACGCAATGTTGACTTCCAAAGGGATGTTGAAATCCCGTAACATCAAGTTAACGCTTAGTATTATGCCTGTGTTTAAAACTATCATTCTCGGAGCATGAAGATGATTGCGGAGCATCATGAAATATATGGAGTTAGAGCAGTATTCAAGCTCTAAAGTCCATTAAACAATCCCAAATAGGAGCAGAGTAAAAGCGGACCTCCAAAACATCCAAGGTGGGATCAGGCGCCATAGAGGAGTGAGCATTCCCTTGAAGACCGGTAATTTCATAAATAAGGAAAGTTTACTTTTGAAAAGTTGAAGCCATCTCTTTTGTCATACAATTTATTTGTTAGTTAATCCATTTCTTCTATATAATGCAAATATGAAATAATTGCAACAGACTATTTTGTGTCTTTTATTTCAAGTTCACTGGGTATGTATCAAATTGATAAATGAATGAAAATAGCTATTGTAAATTCATCGTCGATGTAACTAAATGTTGAGTTGGATGCCACGCGAAGTGTTTTTTTTTCTTCTCAAGTAGAAGTTCACGAATAAATTTTGCTTCATTTAAATTTAAAAACATGTCGGCTAGTAAAGGAGCCCAATTAGTCTCCGAGGCATTTCCAACACATTGTTGGCAGGCGTTGTCTCCAAAGACCCTCAGAGTACCGCTTGTGAAAAATCAGATTTTTTTCGAAATTATTTTGTTATAACAAATCACAATATTTGAAAATTTCTAAGTGCTAAGACGGTCGGCAAAAGCACACCTTTTAATTATTTGTCTTCATAGACCATGTTTGTCAATTTTTTCAAAGTGTGGTCCTTTGAATATCATTGTTTCCTACGTATAGGAAAAAAATTCAAAACACTATTTTTCATATTGCACCTTGGAGACTGTCACATATATATACAACAGTACATTCTGGGGGGGGGGCAAAATAATGCAGACAAAAGCTTCCTGTAATGGACTTTATTAATCTCTTTTATTTTCAAGGTTCGCTAAATCCAATCGTATGGTTCACTCTGAAATTGAAAAAAGACGCCTATCATTTCTGAAATCTATTTCAGATTTCCTATATCCTTTTTTGATGTCATAAAAGACCGTTTCCTCTTCATAACATCAATATTCAACTACTTTACAGCTTTAATTACCAAATGAAAAGGGTTATTTTAAATAGAGCCATTTATATTTTGCTGTGCATTTTACGAACGATTTAGTAAATATCAGTTATTAGTTGTATTTAGATCTTGCTTAAAAGATTTGTTGCTTATTTTTGTATTTATGAATTCAAACGTATTTTGTGTCCTTATTAAGTAAACCGGTCACGGTCGCCTATTGCAATTTTGCGAGTAGCACTTACTTTCGACATTTAAACCTGTATCATGTACAAAGGTACAGAATTGATAATAGATAGGTAAGAGACATGTGCGTAGACCGGGAGTTGGTGGTAACGTGGTTGTCAATCTCTTCAAGAACAAATCATTTGTGCATTAAAATAACAAGTTGTTTTCGTTTAATTGAATGTTGAGCTAAACATTTATATTGTAAAAGAGCTTCCGTACATTGTCTTAGTGTAAAAGTAAACCGTCAACTGTAAAAGTAAGCGCTCCTCGCAAAAGTCCAATACTGGTAGATTAAGTCGTTTGATCTGATATAAGTAGGCCCGGTTTCGATTCGCCGCGCTGTGAAAACCATTCCTTGACGTAAACATGGGTAGTGAATGCTCGGTGTTCCCATTTTTTCCACAATTTTTCATGTTTGCTTATCTGTGTCTACACCGCTTTTCCGTGAATTTTACTATAGGTTCAACGTCATTTCCTTTCTTGAAACTTTTGTGAGTTTTGAATAATCACGGTTAGCACGTAACATCAAACAGTTGCCGATGTATACGTAAGGGCTAAAAGCCAAAAACTGTCCGATATTAGACGTTTCAAGACGCTACATATATGTAGCACCAAGGAAAATCTAATTAAAAATATCTGACAAAATGGTCAGGTTGAGGCTTATTACGTAGTTAGAACATTTCTCCAATGTCGAACACTCCCATTGTACACTTAAGGACAGATGATACAAACAAATAATGGGTGCCTGGATTGGTATACATTTTTGGGCCTTATTTTGTTGAAAATGATGTAAATAATATATTTCTAGAATATATAGAGAAATTGTGAATCTTCTATTATGTTCAAATGTCTGCCTCTCTGAAACCACCCTTATTAATCTATGCAAATATTTTTCACTTCAAATTCCATTTTTGTAAAAATTTAAAAACTACGCGGTGAAACTTGTTCATTTTATTCATTAAAGCATGACTGAAGTCGTTATTTTCATTTTTTTTTAACCAAAGTTTGTTTGTATCATCTGTCTTCAATAGACACTTACATATAAACTGACGTCGTTCTGCTTTAGTGACTGTATCTGGGACTATCAATTAAGTTTTTTTTTTAAACTTACCACTGTCGAATCACTGTTTCATATTGAAATTTGACATCTTACTTGAACTCATGGCTCCCTTTTCATTAATATCCAAACAACCAATATGAATTTGAAGTACCACATCGATAAGTCATTAAAATCAAACAAAGATACATAGTGGGTTCTAGTAAATTTTCTACAAGCCTTTTTCCTTTACTCCTAACAAAGATATTTACAGTAGTGAAGAAGCAATTTCAAGAGCATTGTTCAACAATATATTCGAAAAGTCGTTTAAATTAGATGCAGAAACTTGAAAATTCCAAGGACATTAGAACAGTTAAAATCACCACATTTTACTAGAATCAACAGCATAAAAGCTTACGACTTTTTAACTTTATATACAATTCCAGGCTTGCTGACATCCTTTGCTGTTTTTTCAATAAAAATGAAACTTGCAAATTTACACGCCTTGTCATTGGTCAATTGCAAAATTCCTTTGTTAAAAAGCATATTCTGATTGTACATATAAATGTATATATCGTTAGTACTCTGAAATTATCAAAATGATCCTTGAATTTCTAATTGACAATATCTATGTTTTCTAACATACCAGATCTTTAAAAAATTCATTTGAAATTCCAAAGGGTATCAATTGCGCTCCGTTATTAGCAGATCTATTTTTTGTATTCATATGAAACGGAATTTGTTCAAAATCTTTTACATAGAAAGAAAAAAAAAAAACACTTGCTATGGCCTTCAACTCGACATTTAGATATATCGATGATGCATTGTCAATTAATAATAGTTATATTAATTTTATGTCAATATGATATATCCCGGTGAACATGAGTATTACTACAGAGCATTACTCATCTGTTTCATATTTGGATCCCTTATTAGAAACAAAAGACGTTAATGGTTATCTAAGCTTACCTGAGCTTTATGATAAACGTGATGACTAAGTTTTCAATCGTCAACTTCCCTTACTTATGCCGCAATACTGTATACAGGGTTATTTTTCCCCTCTTTATTTTCGCCCTTTCACACTTCCAAACATTTATATTTGGCCCGTTTTAATTTTGCATAGTCGCAGTTTTGTTGCAGAAATTAAACTGTATTCTTTGAATTCGTCCCTTTTCAAATTAGCCTATCCAAGATTAGGATGAAAGGGGAGAAAATTTCCCTGCATACAGTTTACCTGTGTCACCAGCATACGGATTTTACATCTCTCAGATGATGCAATATGGAAAAGCATTTTCTACATGTGAACATTTTCTAAACGAGGTAAGTTATGAAAAAAACGTTGATGAAGCAAGAGCGTCATCAGGCCCGTTCATTGTCTTCTTTTAGTAAGTTCTAAATGTTTTATTCTATGATCGAAACGATGACCTTGTCGTCAAATACAATTTATCATAAAGTCAAACACTGAATGACATGTTTTAACTCTTCCAAGGCACCTGATTCTACTTCTGATGCTTTGGAGGTCTGTGTTTGCTATGCTCCTATTTTGTATTGTTTTTATGGACTTTTGAGATCGGATACTGTTTGTTATTTCCACATATCTCATTAAAGTTTTATTTCTTTTTATTAGTCCTCTTGATTTTCGTCATCTTTTCTTTTAAATTTTTCTAGATATAGAGATGAATTTTAGTATGTAAGTCTATGGTGATGAGTCATATGCAAATTAGTATGTCTGTTTACATCAATGATTTTGAAGGAAATTGCGACATTTTCAATAAAAAAAATGCATAATTTTTTAAACAATTAGAAATGATAGGCTGCATTGTAGAATTTACCTTGATGAGGTATAAATAAAGTTTGCAATTCATTTGGCTTCTTTGCGTGATTTTGAATGAATTTGGAACTTTCAAATTTTTACCAGATTCCATTCGCCAATAACTCAGTACTCACAGTATACTAAGTACTTCTTTTCTTCCGTTCAATTTTTTATATATTATTACTTATGACATTATTTTTTATATTTTTTTTTATATCGTTATAAGGTTGCAAAACTTGAATTATTACTGATATGTAAAGCAAATTATTTGTAAGATTTTTTTTTTATTAATTAAATTCAATAGTATTTCAGTATTGCTCGTAATCAAACTTTACCTTCATCGTGCAAATGAATCCAATCTCCTGTCGTGACACTCTGCAAATTCTTACAGTGACACTACCCAGGGCCTGCTCTCCTTACAATACCCAATGTCATACAGTCCACCTTTTAATAACGAGGTTTTTTTTGTGGGCGTTTCATATGCAAATTAACAAATACGAATAACTACAAAAGTTAATAATGTACTTTTGTAACAAAAAGATGCTTATGTGAAAAAAAAGATCTAGGGTAAAGTGGGATTCTAAAATAAAAAAATTTCTTCTGCCTGAAAACGGCAAAATAATTTGGAAACAGAAATTGTTTAAGGGATGGGACCTGGGCAAGCTTGTTTCGGATGCTTTCTCTTGAAAAAGGGATTTATTTATAAAATCAATACACCGTATTATCCGAGGTCCCGTGTCGCAGTAGATGCTGGCACGAAAAAGACCACTCCCTGCTCAATGGTCCTGAATGGCAAGTATAGGACAAACTTTGCAGCTGTCCATCGGTAAGTGGTGGCGTCTCCATCTGAGTGAAAAATTAAAATTATCGAGAGGGACGTTCAACAATATACAATCAAGCAATTAATCAAAATCATTAGCACCAAACCTTGTGATTTTTACACACATCCTGACAATAAATAATCAACTAAACACTGTGTTATCAAAGACGACTGATTTGTCAAAAAACGGAATTCATGAATTAGAATATTTTGTCATAATCATCTGCAAACTAGTCTGTCAAAAAAAATGACTACACATAAGAACTCTAGTTATATCTCAAAAGATTCCCAGTTTTTTATTAGCAATTTTTTTGTGGTCTATAAATAATCTATTGGAATTTCCATGCGTACTGACAGATTCATCTAATGCACCAAGGAAGAAAGTTATAATTATTTGCTTTATCATAAAGCATATGGTTTGGTGTTATACAAATCAAAATGTATGCATGCTATTCATCACAATCAAAGGACGCATAAACAACCCAGAACATGATTTAAGGGTGCTGTGTTAGCTTTCAAAATATATCCTTTGTTCATTTTTTTTTCTTTTTAAAAAAATGTCTAAATCCTTGTGCTAATTAAGTACAGGTACCTTGGAATTTTAGCCTCCCATTCCAGTTTTCGAAAAAAGGTATTTACAACCGGGCTCATTTTCATGTACTATAAGATTTTTTTTACAGCTAGCAGAAATAGTTCCCAACCTGAAACCAAGTATCACAAAAGAAAAGAATCAAATGTCTTCAGGTTTTTAAACGTGTTGATTGGCATTTAAATAGAAAAAAATTCAAGGAAAATAAAACGAAAAAAAATGAACGAAAAACTAGGTCGAATAAGTACATACATATTTGAGGGTGTCTGTATACTGCATTCCCTTTTTGGCTAATTTCTTCTTATACATCATTTTATATTTTAGAATAACAGAAAAATCAATCCTCATTGAATATGAATAACCTGAAATTAGAAGAAATATTTGACAGCTTCCCTCCAAATGACCTCTGCTAAGAGGTAAGTAGCATTTTAGGTGTATTTTAAGTTCTAAGTATATGCATTTTTCTTTTATTTCTTGTAAAATAGGGAATTTCAGAGAATTAAGGCATCTATTTCCCTCCCGTTACTTAACCGTACAAGTATGAAGCAGAAAAAATTAATTTTATTTGTAATCAATAAAATAAAGGACATATCTGTTATCACAACATGTCGAAATCATTTAAGTCCTTCTTAAATAATTACGACATAATTTTTCCAATAACCAGTGCAGTATTGCGAACAATTAGATTCATATTGTTTCCTAATTGTTTTACTCGTATACTGCTTTGTAACAAATAAAACAGAACATAAAGTTCACAAAATGTTAAGTTACATTTTACACTTTCTTACCCCAGGCTTAAGAATAAACATTTTTCTTGTATTTCTTAAAAAGTACATGGAATTAAAGTAAAATAAGGGTTGTCATTTCTTCGTCAAAGTTAACCGTACACATTTAAATTAAAATATTTTACTTAAATGTGTTTTCCAAGAAAAATAGGGCAATCAAGTAGTCACGACAAGTCGAAAACACTAAAGTCATTCACTTTTTGTCGCAACTTGATAATTCAATAAACCAAGAGTTGCGAACTATTTAAAACATGATATATTTTGTAAGTACAATTTGAAACATGTTATTTTATTGTAATTCTGTATGATTCTTTAAATTAGGTTGCATATAGTCTGTCACTTCATATACATTTTATAACAATGTAAAATATATTGGGTTATTTGCACAAAGTTTGACTTTATATCCTACATCTTTCATTATTATGGCAAGTTATATCATTACAGTGTGTTTCTAAGCTTAAAAATATGATAATCTGTAAACAGGTATAAATAAAAATATTTAAGTTCTATACGCAATCAACAGAAATAAGTACAAATCAGGTGTCGTGACATGTCGAAATCAATAAAGCCATTCTTCAAAGGTTGCGACATCATTTTTCGACTAACCAAGTATTGCGAACAATTTGAAACATGATATATTATTGTCGTAGAAATTTGCTTGATCAAATTAATAATATGCAAAGTAGTTATCAATCAGATGCTTCCTAGTGTGTTGGCTATGTAACATTTAACGTGGTAGTGACCAAGACAAAGACGAAGACTCAGCGTCTTTGGGGGACTATAAATACCGGCGAGTGCTGAAGCTCGTGGTTAGTCTACCAGTAGCAGTTGACCAGTGCACATCGTGAAAAAAAGGTAAGGAATTTATTGTGATTCATTTGAGGGTGTCTGTATACTGCATTCCCTTTTTGGCTAATTTCTTCTTATACATCATTTTATATTTTAGAATAACAGAAAAATCAATCCTCATTGAATATGAATAACCTGAAATTAGAAGAAATATTTGACAGCTTCCCTCCAAATGACCTCTGCTAAGAGGTAAGTAGCATTTTAGGTGTTTTTTAAGTTCCAACTATATACATTTTTCTTGTATTTCTTGTAAAACAGGGAATTACAGAGAAATAAGGCTTCAATTTCCTTTCCCTTACTTAACCGTAGAAGTATGAAGCAGAAAAAATTAATTTTATACGCAATCAATAAAATTAAGGACATATCTGATATCGTGACATGTCGAAATCATTTAAGTCCTTCTTAAATAATTATGACATTTTTTTTTTTCGAATAACCAAGTATTGAAAACAATTAGAAACATATTGTTTTCTATTTATTTTACTCGTAGACGACTTTGTAACAAATACAACAGTACATAAAGTTCACCAAATGTTAAGTTATATTTTACACTTTCTAACCCCAGGGATAAGAATTTACATTTTTCTTGTATTTCTTAAAAAATGTATGGAATTAAAGTAAAATAAGGGTTGTCATTTCTTCGTCAAAGTTAACTGTACACATTTAAATTAAAATATTTTACTTAAATGTGTTTTCCAAGAAAAATAGGGCAATCAAGTAGTCACGACAAGTCGAAAACACTAAAGTCATTCACTTTTTGTCGCAACTTGATAATTCAATAAACCAAGTGTTGCGAACTATTTAAAACATGATATGTTTTTTAAGTACAATTTGAAACATGTTATTTTATGGTAATTCTGTACATATTTTTTATTTTAGGTTGCATATAGTCTGTCACTTCATATACATTCTATAACAACTTAAAATATATAGGGTTATTTGCACAAAGTTTGACTTTATATCCTACATCTTTCATTATAATGGCAAGTTATATCATTACAGAGTGTTTCTAAGCTTAAGAACATGATAAACTGTAAAAGAAAAAAAAATATAAATATTGACGTTTTATAATGTTTTTTTTATCATTCCTAAAGTTCCTTTCACCATTGGTATGAAAAACGTAAGTCAGCATTTGACTCATTGATAAATTGTATTTCCTGACAATGTCATTGTATCAACTATAGAACTTTCGAAATGATGACTTTAAACGAGACTGCTGTTGTTTCATCAACTTGCTTGTCAATAATTTACAAAGTTTTAGAAATTGTTCATATGTAGATCATGCTCTTGCGTGTCGAATCAACTGAGATATATACACTCCGTATGCAGGTGACGAAGGTATATTGCTGCATAAGTAAGGGAGGTTGACGATAGAAAAGTTAGTCGTCACGTTTATCATCTAATTTGGTTCTAACGTTACCATTAACGTCTTTTTCAAGTAAAACATCCAAGTATGAAACAGATGTGTCAGGCTCTATGTTA